CAGAGGACAGCAGCCATGGAGTGAGAAGTGGAACAGGGAAAGACTGAACACTGCCAGCTACAAGAACTGGGACAGGACCATAGAGCAGATTATTGCCTTCAGGCAGTAATGCCCCCCTGAACAGCAGCTGACTGGAGATGAGCAGACCACTACCTGAAACCATCCCATAGACATACACAGCAGTTGGAAACTGCTTTATCATCCCAAAAGCAAGCCCCAAACCAGAATGAATTATTGAAAGCTTCATTTCCTGAGGTTCTGGAATACAATACAATCATTGCTTGGATGAGGGAATACAGCAATTATGGGATACTGATTATGGTGTTATTTGGTGGTGTTGTTGATGCTCTGTGGTTCTCTTCTCCAGTGCATTTCTCCTCTATAAAGCCACAGAAGTGTGTCATTGCCACATGACAAAGCTCCTAAATGAAACATTTAAATGAGATGATTTGTTAAATCCAAGAAAGGGAAAAAATTGTAGCAACATTCAGAGGATAAAAGCAGCAGAGTTACATGAACACAGCTGAACTGCTCCAGCTAAAGCAGCATTCTCAAGGCAAAGACCAGAAAGCAACAGAAAGCTCACACAGGACATCCCACTTCAGGAAACAGGATGGCAATTCCCTTCACCCTAAAGAGGAGCTTATCCAGGTATGGGCTGCAAGAGTTTCACAAAAAAGGGAAAGGTTAGTTACTCTAAACTGCTCCCATTGTGACTCCAAGCCAAAATGGATTTTAAACATTTCCCAAGCCCCTGGGGTGGAACTGCAGTCTCAGAGTAGAGTTCACAGAGGCTGACACAGACCGATGTTTATGGCCTTTAAAAAACCCTCTTTTGTGTCAGCCTCAGTGCCACATTAGCACAGGTTTGTTGAGCTGAGCTAACCTGATCTATTTGCTCAAATATTTTGTGGCTTGAGGGCAGAAGATCTCCATGACATTTAAATAGATCCAGCTCACTCCTTGCAATATCAGCAGCATGTGTTTTCTGTTTGATTTCTCCCTTTTGTTTATCCCAATAATTAAAAGAAAGAGCATTTTTGGAAAAGAAAAGCAAGAAGAAATTCACAACTAAACCCCAGGCAGAAAAAAATTTTACCAAATATCCTCCAAAGCTAACATTAAAAAATGTCTTGCAAAAACATAAATTAATCAAATTCAGACAAATAAAATACTTGCAAGAATTAGCCCTCAAATTAACATTTTTCAGCTGCTTTTTCAAGCCAAACAGCATTCTTTTCCCCCAGCACACCAGGAGCATTTGTCTGGAGCACACTACAAGTTGTATCAGTATCTCCTAAAAATCTCAGATATTCCCAAATTTCACCTGACCATGACCAAAGATACACAAATACTAATTTGTTAGCCCGATTTTCAGATTCTTGACTCTAGAATCTGGCATACAGGCACTAGTTCAAGAATTTGTACAAAGGCATGTTTTGCAGGATGCCACAATAACCAATTTAAAGGTTTTTCCAATGCAACTGGAATAATTAAACTTATTCCTCATGAAAAGAAGAAATAGCACCCAAGACTCCAGCAACTGTGTCTCAGACTTAAAGTGCAATATAAAAAAGTTAGTGGCAAAACACAATTAACTGAAATTTAAAGTCTCCTAGTAAAATTACCAACATTTCCTTTTTCTTATGTATGGGTGTCATCTACTGCAATCATCCCAAGACTTTCCCAAGAACTTAACCCAAAAGATTACATGCCACCCAGGTTCAAAAAAAGCTTCAGTAAATGCTTCAGGTCTTTGATCAATAATCTGACTTGTCAGGCACTGTATGCTCTAAAGGCATCTTGTCACTTAAATTGATGCCAATTCTACCAGAGTCAAAATGGCATTTTCCATTACCCACAAACCTAAGCCAGCTCAATGAGCTACTAAATATTATGACAAAAAAAATATTCTTTTCCTTTACATGATTTGGGTTTTTACACATCTTTTACAAGGTTTTTGTATAATCCAGTTGAACTGTTGGTGGGATCTGGAAAACCATTTGCCTTGTTTCCCTGCATTTTTGCAGACCAATGTCAGCTCTGATAAAGAAGATATTTTGGGTTTTTTCTGCCAAAATATGTCATCCAGCTACAAGCTGAATGGTTTTTTTCAGATCAATTCTCCGTGTTCAGACTAGTCAGAATAAAAGTGATCCACTGGACTATTTGAGGTTACAGATAGAAGGTTCAGTCTCCACTACCGTAAATGAACCTTACAAGGGTCAGAAGTCAACACATGTATTCAGACAAGTTAATGCTTTTTACTTCCTCCAGCAGAGGACTCAAGTTCCCTACACACAGATTATTCTGTGCACTTGAAGACCTCTACATGACATCCTATTCTAGGCATCAATCTGGTGTCCAAGTCACATTTCTGTGACCCATTCTTTTTTGCCCTGCACATCCTCATCTGCTTCTTAGGTGTGTCCTCGCTTGTTTTCATGCTGGAAATGTCCCAAGAACTTTCAGTCAAATGTGACTGAATATCTCCATCCCAGGGATATCAGGACACTAAAGCACCAGCTGTTCTGCTCATCTCTTCTATAAGACATCAGCTTCAACCTGATGAAGGTCAAACTCCAGCTCCAACTTGTTAATACCCCAGAAGTGAATAGCTTTTCACCTGCTCAAGTGAGTCTGTTGAGGCACATCTACATTTCACAGAGAAACACTTCTTGCTCATCTCTATGACTCCATGAACTCTTGAATATATATAACTAAGGATTAAACTATTATATAGTAGTATCTTACAGCACTTAACTCTTTTCTCACCCTCCTTCCTTCAGATTTTTTTTCATCCTTAATGCCTAGAAGACATGTTTAATTTCCAGGGAGTAGCAGATTCTTCCTGCTGCTTTTGTTGCATTTGCAAATCACCTTGTCCTTTCCCCTTTCACCTTGTATATCACCATCAATTATCTTTTTTCTTGTATTCTGCTAAGACATTTCTGTTCTTTTGTACCCTTCCAGTCCTCTTTTCTACTCTCCCATCCACTACTTGTCTGTTTTGTTATCCCATTATGTTTCTTCCTGATATTTTTTCAGTTCAGTCTCGAGCATCAATCACTTACTTTAGAGTATTATTTTAATTTTTCTTTCCTTTGGCTCTGTCGTCACTTCAATATTCCATGAGGTGCTCACTAGGCATCCAGAAGTGCTATTTAATTACTTGCCTTCAGCACTGCAAGCTGCTCCCAAGATCAGAGGCAGGAGCTCCAGAAGTCACAGGAAGAAGTTATTTTCTGACACTTTGGTTGAAATTTAAAGAACAATAGCATCTAGGACAGCTACAGAAGTGAGCTGTGCTAACTCAGTGGCCATTTCACAAGCTCAGGAGAGTTTGCAGGATCAGGATGATAATTATGTTTTGTACAGTTTTTCCTAATTTCCACTCCAGATATTTTTACCCTCCGTGACAATTTCTGCTGACGTATATCCATCCAGAAATAGCAGGCTAGAAGCTACTACAGGCTCCTCTCAAATAGCTACCTGCAAGCAGGAAACCAGTTATTTTCACCTTCCCCTTTTATTTAAAGAGTAAGGCAGCAAAAGAATCCTCATGCAGGCCTGGAGATGCAGTCCCAGCTAAGCCAAGAGGAAAAGTTCAGATAGAATTGGTACATCTGCCAGTCTGCAGTGCCATTTTTCACCTTACAAGGACTAGAGAAGCCAGCACTGTAGGGCAGGGTGGCAAAACCCTACAAAGGTTCCTTAGGATAATCACACCATCCCACAGAGAGCCAGGTTTGCAATTATATCTTTTCTGTCTAAGGGGCAGAGCCACATCCTTCAGCAAGCCAGCAGTGCATGTGAAGCAGGAGGAGCAGTGGTGCAGCTCAGGCTGCCTCAGTCACTCTCTCTTTTTGTCCCTGCAGTTTGTCCCTGCCTGTGCCCAGCAGTCTGATTTGGGCACCTATTTGTCAACCCACTTACCTGGGCCTTCATTCAGCACAATAGCTAAGTACACAATTCTTGTGTAATGTTTTAAGGCCAAGCACAGTGACAGTGATGGACTGCACCTGTAGTTAGCATTGGAGCTGCTTCTGGAGAAATCAGAGCTAGATAAGCCATCCACAGAACACACAACACTGATCAAATATCTGCACGCTCTCAGGTTTCTCTGGCTGTTCCCTAAACATCAAATTCACCAGAATCAATCAGCTTTTCCCAGTAAAACCCAATCCTGGAGCCCACACTGCTCCTGACACTCCCAGCCTGAAGCACATTGTAAAGGCATTAGTCTCTGCCTGTCTTCCCTGCTGTCACTAACACCAGGAAGAAATTAACTTTAGCAGACAGAGCAGCCAGGACAATTATTACTTCAGTCAGGGAAAGCACAGTATTATGTTTTCCAACCCTATTAAGAAGGAACTCTAAAGCCTTAGAAAAGTCATTATTGATGGGCCTGAATAAGTTTGTAAATCTATTATACTGCATATCACCTAGACAACTTGTTTTCTCAGGTTCTGACTTGCATAATCAGTGAAAAATTGGGGCAGTGTGAGGGGATCTGGAGGGAGAAAAAGCCTTTTCTGCCTACTAATTAAATCATAAATAATAGCAGAGAACACAAGATATTCATTTTCTGTATAGAATCAAATCCCCAGAGGCTGACTGCATCCTTCACTAACCCACCAAACTTCATACAGGCAGAGCAGTTTCCCATTACTGTTTTGGGTTTTTTGATGAAAGAAAATCTTTGAAAACAATATATTTAAATGAAGCAACATTAAAATTACTTGCTTTGATAATGTTTGACTAACAAAAATGCTTTAAAATATTAATTTCAAGCTTAATGATGAATTTGCCCACAAAGAGAAATGGCAGTGCTTCAAATTTGGTGATTTAATTATTCCATCTTACAAAATAAAGATTTTTTTAATAATACTGCCTTATGCCAGTTCACGATGGATATAGCAATTCAGGAGAGGTACATTTTACATACACACACAATAATAATTAAAAAAATTTTAAAAAAAAGAAAACTGTTTTCCCCCACCATGAGGATGGCTGTGACTGGAACTTGGTCCAGGGTTTGAGTGGCAGATAATATGACTTTTCCTTCCCATGATTTGTTGGGAAAGAGTGACAGCTACTGAGCCTCACAAATCTCCCTTGGACAGGGCAGTGTATTATCCCACAAAACAATAGCAATTCTCCACCCAGCTCAGAGAGAAACTGATGCAATTCCAGTTTATCTAATTCCTTAACTTTTCTGCCTTTTCCTTTATTTCAGCAACTGAAATAATACCCCCTAAAATGGATTCAACGTCAACTTTTACTGAGTCAGTTTACTTTCCCTTGTTTCCCTGCTAAGGCATTTCCTCCTCACTCATTGCAAACTCCAGCATCTCTCCACAAACAATTATTTTTTCAGGGGAGCAAGAAACGGGGAGGAAAAGGAGGAGACAAGAAGAAGAGATACTTGCAGAAGTTGTCTCCAAAATCAATTTGAGCAGTGCTTCATCTCCTCTCCGTTCCCGCTGTGCTGCATCCCAAGCGTCTCACTTAAACTGTAACTAATGAGCAAAACCAACAAGCTCAGCCATAAGGCAGCACCTGCAGCAGAGCCTCTGCTGTGCTATCAGGTGGCAGAGTTCAGCAGTCCCCACGGCCATCCTCACGACTCCACAAGAAACCACAACCTCCCTTTCCAATTTATTTCTTGCCAGTCGAAGCCTGAGGCCTGTATTTAAATGCTGTACTCTAGATTTACACACAGATGAAATCCCACCAACTCCAGAGGCAGCTGCTTCATTTCAAGTTGAGTGAAAATAACCATGGCAGCAGCTAACAACTGATTAGTCCATTCCCAGCTGGAAGAAGAAAAAGGTCTCTGACTAAAGTAAAGTACGTGAAACACAGAGGCAGGTCGGCTACGTGAAAAAAAGTGGGGTTGATAGGAAAAATGTAACTGATCCTGCCACTAAGAAACAGGGAATTTTCCTGATGACCAAGCATTGCCTAAGGGATCACTAGAGCTTGGTTCAAATCCTGGGTGCATCTTTGTAACATAAGGGCCTCTCCAAATCCTCGCTATGGAAGCTTCATTAAAATGTATGCATGTTTTCTTAGCTTGACTCAGATCTTTGTGAGTCTGGAGGAAACTCCAAAACACAGCAGGGAATATTGCCCTAGCACAGAAACAGCCCAAAATTACATTAAATTACAACTAAAGGGTGATTCCACAGCAACATATAAATAAATATTGAAGCCTATTGGTTTTCAAGTAGAAACCACATTTAAGAAATTTGTATTTATTTCAGCATTATTAGAGCATTAAATGTACATCCACACACTGCTACAACATAATGAATGCAGCCACATCTCCTGTTTTTACCTACAAGTTTCCTATTTGAAATCTATAGGAACTCAGTCCAAAAGCCCACAAGAAAACATTTTATAACAGCGCTAGAAAATAAGGAAAGTGTAAGACTCACCTAGGCCTTCCTTGGAGCCAGCACACTTTAGAGTAGTCAGAAATAAACCAGATTAGAAACTCAAGCCCTGTGCTGGGCCTAGAAACAAGTTGTATCTAACAGAAGAAAAAAAAACAACAAAAAGAAACAAAAAAACCACCACTGAATATTTATGTCTCCAAGATAGAAGATGAAAGGAAAAACTCTCCACTTATTTTCTCTACTTTGATTTAAAAGGTCTTAGACAATCAGGCTCCACCTGAAGTGGGCTGTTATTTATCATTTCCATCAGGTGATACATATCCTCAGCCTAGTGTTTCTGATGACAATTCTGCTCTGCCACTCAGAAGAAAAGCCAAGTACCAAAATAACCAGATATTCTGTAAGTGGCAAAAAGTGCTCTAGTTGACAAAGAAAGCAAATATTCAGACTTGGTCCACAATCCTCTGCCCCAATGGCAATTTTACTAGGAATGGAGAAGAGAAAAAATATTTTTCTCCCGTTAAATAGGAAAACAAGTAACAGAAATAACTTCTTAAAAGCATGCTTTTAAATTTCTTCAGCTCTTTAGCTTTCCTCAGAATCCAGCCAGTAGTTCAAGGAAAGAACTCTGTTCCTACAGTAAGCCACAGTGCTGAGTGAGACCAAAACAGACCTAAAGAGCTCTGGGGCACTAAACTCCAGCAGGTTCTGTTTATTCCTCCTGGAGAAGGTAAGTGTGCTTGCCTACCTTGTGAGGTCATACTAAAGAACTTGGCAGGCTTCTGCTGCTTTCACAGAAGTGGAAAAGGATGGGGGGACAGCTCAGTACAGGCACAGGACACTCCTCTGGGCTGGGGCAGGAGCCCTCCTGAAGGAGGCAGGTAAGTGAACGAGAGGATCAAAACAAGGGAGCAGATGGAGGTCTTGGAGTCTGGAAAACAAGCACACAAAATGTGCAAAGTGGAAACCACTGGGCTGCAGGACACAGGAACAAGAATGCCTGCAGCAGCAGGACCAAATGCAGGTCCCTCAGTGTGCTGAGAGAGCAGTGCCAGCCATCACAGAAACAGGCAAATCCTGCAGGGCAAGACAGATATCTCCACCAGTGTTACAGCACTGCACAGCACTGGCTTAACGCAAGAAATTTTCATCAACACACACAAGACAGACTTGTTCTTATTTTAAGAGATTCTGCTGTACCAGACACAATTTTTCCCCAGACATTTTTCTTTACCTTCAAAACTGGCACATCTTAATCAAAAACCACCTTGTGTCAGTATCACTTTTGCTTTTTTGCCATAATCTCTGTGCAAGTGTGTCAGTCCCCATGTCTCCTGCCTGAAGAATGGGGATGTGCTCTCCCAAACCTGGCCAAGGCCTGGCCACAACCTTTCCTATCTTTCTGCATCTGACAGCTCCAGTTAAATGGTAGTTTTATGTCAGGAAAATGGAAAGCACCTGGAAGCAGCTCAGCCTTTATGACCTCTGCTCTAGAGACTCCCAGGATACTCCACAATGAAAAGAAACACTCTTCTACTGCAGTTTTACTGAATAGCCACATTACAAAGGCTACCAGCTTCGCAAAAATAATGGCCTCAGGACTTGGATGCTCTGTCTAGCTTCCAACTCTGAAGTTTTTGTTGTGACAGGATAAGGCTAAAAACCAAAAGTTTTTATTTAATAAAAACACAAATTAATTTGACCTAACAAACCAAGGACTGTTCAGCTTTACAGTGCAAGATATTTCTTCTTGGGAAAAGTATGTTGAAGTTACCAAGTGCCCCTAGAAATTATGTCAAGAGGATTTTACTAGAGGATAGCTAGAAATCATTCCCAGCTCAGGAAATTCTCTGGGCTGAAAACCAGAGAGGACAGGGGGACACTGAAGGCAATTAATTCCTCTTCCCTCAGCATTCACTTAGACCTTTTCCAGAGTCAAGCTGCAGTGCTAGAGGGACCCTTTAAACTGCCATCATTGACTGAAATTGAGTTTGTCCACCTGAAGAGTCCTGTAACATGGACAGAGCTAAATGCCACCTTACCTGTTGACACTAGTGATGAGCTTTCAGAAAGAGGACTTCTTTCCCATGGCATTTTGTGTTAAAAGCTAAGGGGCCCCACATTTGGGGGATTTAAGTGGACAAAAAGAGGAGCAATGAAGCCAAAAAAAGCCACTGTCCCTTCTCTCCACTGGTACCTGCAGAGCCCTGCTGCTCAGGCAGCTGGAGTGAGGGGTCTCCACAGAGTGGAATTTCACATGCAAACACCATCAGCCCTGCCCTTCCTTCCAAACAGCAGCTCCTTTGGACCCGAGGCTGCCAGGCTTTGTAAGCACAGACCAGAGTGAGCCCAGGCTGGCTGGCATCAGCAGCCTGAGATCACCAGGGACAGCCAGAGCACACCAAAAGCCCAGTTTGCCTCCAGACAAGCAGCCCAGTGTCCTCGTTTGAAATGCAGGAGGATGAGCCAAAGCAACTCTCCCGAGGAAGTCCTGCAGACTGAAGGGGGCTGTTGCCTTGAGAAGGGGAGGAGGCTTAAGAGCACATCTCAGGGCTGTAAAAAACTTGCTATGGAGCATTCAGGTGAAGGACTCCAGAATCTACCCAGAAGAAAGATGATACAAGCAAATGAGCTATGAAAAAGTTTCAGGAGGGAAATTCACGTCTTATTAGATATCAGAAAAAGAAGAAAAGCACCTCAGGCTGCTGTGGGATCAGCAGAGCTTGCCTTAGGTGCTATCAGTAGGAAAAGTCTAGCAGAAAAAAATACAGTCTAATATTTTGCCTGGAAAGTAGTCAAATTGGAGTGAGTAAATAAAATCATCAAGTGTCATAGCCTGACCTAACACTGAGGGTATGAAAATATTTCTTTTGTAGAATAACCATTATACACTTTAGTCAAGGTTTTCAGAGTTATTTACCCCAAATCCCTTCTTTACATGTACTTAAGTAATAATTAAATCTCTCTACTGTGTGAAAAAATGCAGGTGCTTTAAAACTTTCTGTGTGCATAATTACAATTATTTCTAGACCAAAATGGTAGCTGTGGATATGAATGTAATGTTTCAGCATTAAGTTTAATATCAGCAGGCAGGAGAATAATTAGTTAATGGGCATGCAGAGTTTTACTAAAAGGATGAAAGCATTAATTATTATTTCTTATATTTTAAATTGCTTTAATAGGCAGAGTCCTCCCAGAGCACATCTAAAGATTTATTTCTGTTCAGGTATTGTTTTATACATTGAAATTCAGGCCTGAAATTAGAAGTTGCCCAGGGAATTGGTAATGACTATTATTCCTTTTTTTTTTCCTTGAGAAGTAAATCCCATACTCTTAAGTAACTCACAAAAGGCATTAATGATTCTGCACTACAGTTGTCAGCAAATGCACAAATTTGCCTAATTCAGCAGTGATTTCCAAGGCAAGTCTTTATTAAAATGTCCCTGGCCACCACATAAGTATAAATATCGTGCTTATTACAAACTACAGGAATTTTCTTTTGGTACCAGCAATTTACAGGGTTGACCAAATGCAGAGGAAGGTTACTCAGACTCAGTTTCATGCAGGGACAGAGCACACAGACTGGCAGCATGGCTCCAGACATGTCACAGGAATGGGAGCTGTGTGCTTTTCAATGCCAGAAGCCATTTTCTGTTTGGGAAACCTTCATTAACACCTCACGTGGCAGGAATTAAATGGTGACAACCCAGGGCCAGCAGGAAGGGATCTTTCCCTAGAAAGAGCAAGAAACTCTCCCATGAGGCGTGATGGGACATAATTCACATTCACACCACTTTAGCAGAGCTGCTGGCATTCAGGTTTTGGAGTTATTCTAAATGTCATTGTGTCCAGCCTTTCAGGAGAGCATGGTAAGCCTCAGGGGCATTTCTCAGGAGCAGGGCTGTCCTTCTCACCCAGCAGCACCTTGTAGCTCACAGACAGAGCTCACTCCAACCCCTGAGGCTTCCACAGCACCAGGCTGAGCCCAGCACCCAACAGGAGCTCTGGGGCTGGCACAGCAAGAGTTGGTGCTGAGGAAAAGCTGAAGCCAGAGGCTGTGCCCCTCACCAAACAAAACCACAAGGCACTTCCCAGAGAGGAGCCCCAGATGCGCCACCCCCTGCATAGCCAAGAGAATTTGCTGGGAGCAGCCCAGGTGACCCCTGCCAGGAAATTCCAGTTCCCACTCTGGCCCCAGCTGACCTTCTGCAAGGAAAACTGTGCTGATTTCCAGAACCACAGCTGCACTTGGAGTACAAACTGTTTCCATGACACAGCTGCAGCATTCACAGGGGGAAGGTACACCAGTTATGCTCATTATCCAGCTGCCAGAAAAAAAGTACTCCCACCTGCAGAGCAAGAAAGGAGTTGCTCAAGACAAGGTACTACATCCATTATTTACATTTTGCATCACCACCAGTCTTATTAGTACATATATACAAACTGAAGGATGTTTTTTTATCCTCTTTCAGAGGTTATTAAGTATTCCCTACACTATTTCCCATGTGATTCTACTAAGGTGTATAAAGAGATACTGATTCATACTTGCTGAAGACTTCACTATTGTCACCTAATTATTGTTTGTACTAATTAAAATACTGTCTGCAGATAACATCAACACTAAATGACAGCAGATTGAAAGCATCTAAGTAATTCATCATGTCACTAAAATATGCAGCCATGTTTCTCAGCACTAGAACATCTCCTTTCTAATTTAGAGGCGAATTAGGCGTTGCTGCAAGTTTGTGACTCAAAGATAATTGCAAGACACTTTTCCTGGCTTCTTGTGTTTTCAATTTGTGATTATTGCAAGAAGTTTAATAGCAGCTGTAATTCTCTGTGCTGCTCCAGAACTCCCCAAGGGGCAGGCCACAATGCCAGTTTCTCAGAAGTAACCCATTACACTTACTTGCTATAAAGATCAGAATGTAAAATAAATTTGAAATAGAATGTAATTAAGAACTCCTTTGCCAAGAACCATTTCCCTTCAGGACATTATTCAGAAATGTCTGAGTGTTTTGATGAAAACAAGTAAAGACCAATCCCCAGGCCAAGCAGCAAGGCTACCTCTCATGATAATTACTTTCTTAAAAATTAAGAAGCCCCATCAATTGTCTACTCACTGCAGACTAGGCTGAAACACTAAGTTTTCAAAGTTGCTTAATATTGAGTTATATTTTTTAGCTCACAAGAGACAAGTACATAAATTCCCCATGAAGCAGGTTAAAATAAAGAAAGACAAATAGGCTTTTCAAAACATAGTCCACTGGCCAGTTTCTCATACTGAAGGCTAAAAAAAAAAAGTGTTTGTTGTTCTGAGGGTTTTTTCCCCAAGTTCTACCTGTACTGCTAAATAGACTTGAGCAGGTGTTTCCAGTCACTTCAGAAGGAAAAAAAAAATCCTCTTTTCAGTGATATGTCTGAGACCAATTAGAGAACAGCAGAAGCAAGACTGCAAGGAAGATACTGGTACTGCATTGCTGAACATCTGTAACAAACCCAAACCAAACCAAACCAGGATCAAAGAATAGCTGACATCATTTCATCCTATTGCAATTAAAGCCAACAAGCAACTTCATCAAAACCAAGGCAGTCAGTGGGAGAAAATCCTGTTCCAGTGGTCATCATCTCTCCTCAGACACAGAGGAGTACAAATTCCTGCACTGTCAGGAATAGTCAAAGGATTTTAGACATCATCCCCG